CACCCCATAGCACAATGAAACGGAAGGATCCCTAAAATCAATCACGGTCTAAAATGAAAAAAACACAAGAGCACTATTCTGCTTGTGGCAGACCTGTTTTCTTCGGAATATTGGATTTGTAATATGTTTTCGAATTTTCGACAGCAGCATGTTCATTCATTACTTTCTAGCTTTTCGCCAGTTGGAAATAACCAAGAAGCGCCGAGCGCCTACATTTTAGTACCGTACCCCAACACGGAATTTTATAATCCTCAAAATACGTACGGCAAACTAAGGTCTGTTCCATTCTTTTGTTGTCTTATTGGAAATTTTCTTATCCAACAATATGCTGATCCCACAGAAGCTCAGGCATTGTTGACCAGTACAGTAAAAAAACTTCTCTTTACAATTGTCGGGAATTTCAGTGCTAAGGCTTTTGATGCTGCAGCATTCCTGTACACGATTGCTTTTTCGTTTGTCGCAAAGGCTTCGAATTCGAATGAAAAGACCATAAAAATCAATTGACATTGGATTCAACAGTAATCTCATTGTACATCGTCATCTGTATTGTTAGAATCCTTCTGCCGTTCAAGGTTTCTAGGTAGAGCTTTTTCATAAATCAACGGCCTGGTGTTCTGACGTAATTGTCTTCTTCAGAGGCCGGGGCTTCACCGTAAAGACTTTCAGTGGCACGAGCGAGAGCGTCGGGGTTGAAATAAGAAAGAAGCTGTAAATTATAGTCATCACCAGTAAATGGAAAAAAAATGTCCACTATATAGGGGATCCGATCTCAATGTCTCACTGTCTGCCTTCAATGTTCTGCTTTCGCTTCAGCCTCAGACAAACGCCACGATAACTGAGTAAGTCATTTCAAGAAATTGAAAAAATTAGCCTCCGGATACCGCACGCATTCTTTCATTTTCCATAAGTGACCATATTTCAAATGGAATTCAGATGTCGTACTTGCTCGAACTTTTGAGCGAGGCTCATTTTTACTGGTCCAGAAGATATGAATTGCCCGTCCTTGAATAACCAATAATTTTGAAATAAAACTCGCAAAAAAAGCGAGTCATTTCGAAGATTCTTCGAAGTCATGGCTACTGCCGGTTCCTCTCCAACTGCAAGAATATTGGCTGCTTTCATAGTCCACGATTTGGCGAGGGACTGGTCGCTCGGTCGCTCGCTCGATAGGTCTGCGACTGGTCGCGCGATTGATCTCCCGTCAAATCATGGACTATGAAAGCAGCCAATGCTTCCTTAGCGAGACTCTTTTGGTAGGATATATTCATACCAGGATAAAAACCGCCCAATCAAGATTCATTAAGAGCTTCAAAACAGGCCGACACACACACTCAAAGTGGCCGTGTTATGCCGGCCTTGTTATTGCTATTCACATGACGAGAAAAATAGTACGTCTGAATGAGAGACACTCAGATTGAGACATCTCGTACAAACTCCTTTCTTGCTACTTTTTTGAAGTCTCATACTTTTTAAAATTGAATTTTTCATTTTTGAGCTTTCTTCGCCACCCTCACACTATTCTGCACTATGGCTTCCTATATTTCATTTGAAATTGTACCTTGAAATTAGCATAGACCGTGCCTTATGTCGGAAGACGGTCCCATAGAACGGCATCTGAATTTACCCAGTCTAAAATGTGATTTATCGTTGGAGATATAAAGGCATTCGTGGGAACATTAGTGCCATTTTCAGCGCGTTTGACTTCATCCGAACTGCTAAGGATGGTAGCAATGTCCGTACCGTGATCCTGGTCGGCGTGAGGTTCGGTCAACAACTTTTCTGAAGAACTTTTAAATATTTTTCCCTTCACTGAATTATTTTAAAGTTTGCATTTTTGATTTTCTGTTGTGGGTGAAGTAGCACTGAAGCGATCTCAGATGGAATGACCAACGTCAGGGCGTTTTTCTGAAGTGATTTAGCGGACTTCTTGGCCTTTTTAAGAGAGGTATTGAGGCCAGAGAAGGCGGAGGTGATGTAGTGGCAACTGGTGCACTATATCACACGCACGGTAATGGGTTCGAATCCGAGATCGATGCCTGCGTAGGCCAACGAAGCCATCCATTCTTCCGGGGTCGGCGAATTGGTACCAGACTCGTCTAGGAGGATAGAAGCACTGACTTGTATATCGGCTGGCCACCGCAAGTCATTGTATAGGCCACATACACACTCATTACGCCACTACGATTCTGAATGGAAGTCGAGGGCGGGAGCGCATCCCTCAGACGGGATTGACTAACGTCAAAAACTTTATCCTTTAGCCTTTATTGAGGCCAGTGGGATCTGTGACCACCACCCCACTGGCTCTCAGAGTCCTTTTATAGACCATATGCCCTCCCCATACCGTCTACTCATTATGCACATCAACCACGCTCTATAACTATTTGTTAGGCCAGTACCTCATCTTTTTAACGTTACTAAATGTTTATTTGAAACGAAGGTTTCAGTGATGCATTCGTCCAAAATGCCCAGCAAAGTGCTCAAGGACTAGTCGAAGAAGGCTACAGTATCTTCACCGTTTCTATTGGTAGGTGATGGAGGAATGTCAGCTTGTTAGACCTTCACGACCTCGTGAATGCCAGTTATCAGTCGCTCTTCGGAATAAAAGAAGACAATACAGCTCAGACAGCATACAGTTCATTTACTCCTACTTTTCATTTTATTTTTGCGGTGTTTGTGTACAGGAGCTGCCAGCACTTGCACTGGACGGAGGAGCAGCAGCGATTTATGCAAAAATTTAGAAAATTTTTTAACATTTTGTAGGTAATGCGAACTTTTCCTCTCTAGCCACAAACGAAACTTTCGTTTACGAACTAGATTCCCCTTCGCCTTCCGTTGAAGCCTCTCTAATTGCCAGTGAAATTGGAACAACTTTACGTAAGTTTCATATAAAATCCTAACAGTTTTTTCATTTTGTAAAGGTGCGCTCCGCTCGAAAACTTTGCTTGGATACAGAAAGGCCTATAGCAGTTTGTGGCCATTATTGTGCATTGTCTGACCACGACTTTTTTTTCTAAAACACCTTCCTTTAGAACCCATCGGGATGACTTTAAAGAAAGGCAACTTTGATAAAAACTGCCGTCAACCGACTAACAACGGTAAAAGCGAGAAAGTGCGGTTTCTTGTTCTTGGAGGCTATGAAAACCTTTCAGTTCTGTATGGGAACTATGTTTTAGAAGGTCCATTACTATAAAAAACTACCGTACTCTCCTGATTCATTGAGAGGTTTATAAATGATCTATAAAATAGAGCAAATTATAATACTCTATGCAGCTTCATACAACTAGACTTCCCTAGTGCAAAAATCGTCAACCTGCGTTTATGCTCCGCAGTCAACAACGGTAACACCGGCACCGTCATCATGGTAAGCGCTAGTATTTCTTGAATAGCGTTGCAACCTTTTCTAACTCTATTTATTATTTACGAGATCTACACATTCCACAATTCGGGAACTTCATAGAGCAACTTTCAAGGCTTGAAATTTTTAGGTCAACAGACAACCATATGTACTCGTCCACCACGTCGCCCTGTAAAGCTCCTTTCATTCAACAAGACATTGCTTTTGTCGTGGAAATTTCAACCTCCACTGGCAATCTCGACGCATCCCATGTGAGTAATCATACCCATTGATTTGATGTGGAAAGCGTGGTGATGGCGTTGTAGACAGCTGGTAATCGCACTTATGCAGGTCTCACATGTGACCCTAACAAGTAAACAAAAATTAACAACGAACTAGCAACAAATAAATAGCAAAGGTACAAGTCAATGCTTCAGTCCTCCCGGCCGAGTCTGGTGCCCGTTAAAATTCCGGAGTTGAAACACCTGGTCAGACTAGGCGGTGCTCAGACCGAGATCTGATTCCCAAAGCATGCGTGTTACAGCTTCTGCTAACTTGCCACTATGCTGTCGCCGGCTAGGCGAAAAGTATAAACGCACAGTTCTGATTGCAAGTTGAAAGTTCAGATCAGTTTACATGAATCGATGATTCCTTGTCACTAGAATGTGAATATTTAGCAAAGTCATTTCAAATTTTTCAGGCTGCTTCAAACTTTGTTGCGAACTACCTCATCAAACAAAAAGTTTTCAATGATGTTTACTCAAACTTTGCTATTGTGCCCTTCCCCAATGCCTCGTCGTATACACCTGGCGGAGGAATTCAAGACTTTGGTCAATTGCTGGTAGAAGACTTCGTGCCTGCTTTCCAGATGATATTTGCCGTCTATCCTATCACGAATGGTGCTGTTTCTGATATTGAAAGGTATGCTTTTGATTGTGGTAAGCTCTTCGAGCAAGTACAGTTGATCCGAGTTGTAATTCCTTTTGTGGGAAACGATAGCATCGTGGGAAGCTATTCGTGCGAATAACGTTCCCTCTGTAATACCCGTCTCACTTGTTTGATTCCTGGCTTCATCTAGGGAGGCCAGAACTGCTCTATTCGTCACATTCGCTGACCAATTTACTTCAGTGACTCTTCCTCTCTCGAAGGACAAGAAGCGAATCATTTTCTTTGTTCATGCATCCCATCCCAAGAGCTGCTTGGAGCGGACCTGGTGTAACAGCCAGGTTGAAGTAAGATAGAAAGTATGTCGTTGAGGTGAAGATGAAACGAGGAAAGGAAAATGGGGTGTCAGCTTCTCAGGAATAAAATAATGTTTAGAAATATTTACCAAAATTGTAGACGTCAATAACGCTTCCATAACTGAAGGGTGAGATCGTTCTGAGAAAAGCTACGATTCACAAGGGCTTTTAGTCCGGGACCCTGGCATGGATGGAGGGCATGAGCCTTCAATCTTTCTACCATATTCAACATCGGAAGGAATTCTTTATGTTGCAGTGGGCTGAGATACACAAACGATTCTGAGTTTACACGCCTCCATGATGATCATCCCAGGACAATACTCCTCTTCGCTAACAGGTACACCACATATGTAACTACAATGAGTGACGTATTTTTTCACGCCACAGATGAGATGTTGGCCTTGGTTCCGAGAAATTCTTCAGAATTTCATGAAAAGTAAGAACGAAATGTCATATTTTCAGTGATGATGGGGTAGAGGCAGCTCTCGAGATTTCTTCAGAGTTGAAAGCACAGGCTGTCAATATACTAACTGTCAGCATGAGTGACACGGATGACATCAATCTGCAACCTCTTAGTTCAGCTCCTGGTTATAATTGGAATTTGCCAGTTTCCGAAGCATCATCATATCTGTCAATGGCTGAGGTCATCAGTTCAAAGCTTTGTAAGTGGCCTTTTCTTTCCCATTGGTTTTCGGTGCACTATCACCTGGAGCCTTTAAATTCTTCGTTTATATTATTCATCATCATTTTGCTTTCTCTTCCAAATGCCTGCAAAATTTCGAAGAAATCAGAAAAACGGAAAACAAAGGAGAAAGTAACTATTGCAACATTTTGGGTGACTGATTTTCTCCATTGATAATCATATCCGGTGCGAGAGCACTCTCATACATCTTATTTAATTAGCTGTTGTCATGCTTTTGAAAAGGGCAATTTCCCAAAATGCGATTGCTATTAGACTTGGGTCTCTCTGTTGTCTGTCTGTGTGTTTGATTGTCTAGCTGGTCTATTCTGGAGAATCTCCAGTTTTCAACAGTGTCGGACCGATGCCGCGTTTCGCCTCTGCCGAATACTCTGGATTCTGAATATGATCATGCGTCATATTTTAGCCCTAAAGGGGATGTTCTTACAGGGTGGTCATTCGAGTCTAGAAGAAGGCTGAAGAAATCGGAGTCAAATCCACTTCACAAGACATGCTACTATAGAAACTTTGAACACTGAATGTAAATGAATTAGCGTAGGTATCTTCAATTTTCTCAATTTCACTCATTTCAGTGGATTTGGGAAGTGTCTGCAATGATCACGGATAGCACTCGACTAGCCAGCCATGGATCAAAATGATTCTGAATATATTTCGTTATATTGTTGAAACTTTTATGAAAGTGAACTAAATATTCTATAAAAGTCAAGCGTTTTTACATGAGTTTGTTTAGTATGGTTGGGTATTTCGTTGTCGTCTGGCACCATCAAGTTCAGCTTATCGAGGAAGTAAAGCCGGATCACGCTCATAACATACTTTGAATTACGATTGACGATCTTTGTGGGATTTACGCGATTTGTGATTTGGCCCCACAAAAGAATCCAATGGACTGAATAAGTATGTTCACTTATCACTCACTGCCATTCATGGTGGTTTACATGATCAAGAATTCGACCTGGAAGCAGAGAGGTTCACAGGCATGAAACAGCTCAATTAGATCATTGTTCCCTCCCTTCCTCTCCCTTCGCTTGACATTACTCATTACAGGAGAAGGTGAAATGTTTAAATGTAGTTGGGGGAACGGGGGAGGGGAGGAGGGAATTGAAGCACAAATTAGTGTTGGTATAACAAGGAATTAAGAGGAATTAACACTGTGTTACATGTTGTTCTGTGTTATACTAGGGACACCAGGGGCATTAAATTGTTCGAAGGTGAGCCTCAGGATAGAAGGAACACCATGGTAGGAGAGTTTTCAGCTTTCCATATTAGGTCATCATCTCACCCACTCAGGTGCACCTACCCTCCTGATGGGCTGGAACGCATGAGAGCCACTGATGGCCGCTGTTCATCCTGCTCTTCGTCTCGATGGTACAACGTTACTAAACACGAATCAACAAGTAACAACATGTCAACTTCCCATACACTAACGCGTTTCCTCCCCCCTCAGACATTTTCACCCATAAAAAATATCACTCTTACCAACTTCTGTTAGCTCCTACTTACCCCCAAAGATAGAGTCTATTAACCTTACAGCCTGGTTACACTTCTTATATCTTACATCTACTTATTCCTTACCAATTCTCACCATCCGAACGCTTAGAATGATTCGTATTAAGCATAAATTCATGCGAAAGTTCAAGTCGTTAAGGAAATTGCCGTTGAAAAGGCTCTCAGATGCTTTCATTGATGTTCCAATGAGGGAGAACAGAAGTGTGACTTTTTTCCGATGACCCCTGAGACCCATGCCATTACACCCCTACGCCATCACATCTATGACACCATGAACGAGGGTGTACGGAAGGTACCTGCCCGAAATCTCGCAGTACTTCAGATTTTTTTCCTCAAGAATTTTTTCTCATTGGAGAATTCACTGACTTTGTATGTACATAATATAGCCGCAGGGTTCCAAAATGTAGGACGAACTGCTTGGAAGGGGTTTTAGAATTATACCTTTGACTCAGGTTTCGATAGACTTGAGAAGTTGAGCGGCCGAGTTCGAACTCGTATGTTCAAACTAGGTAGTTCAATCACTGCAGGTTTGTATAAGCAATGAAGTGGAGGTCAGATATGTTAGGCTGTCGTGGGTGACTCAGATCCCTTTCAGAACACTTTCCGGTGGTTAGGTGGATACTTGGATCATAAAAGAATAGGAGCAAGAAATTGAACAACACCTTCACAGAGCGAAGTAAATTCAGTCACGAGCAGGCTGTATCGAAGCCGTTCTGTACGTGTGCATTGCCCCCAACCAGATGTGAGGCCAAGAGGGAATCACGTCTGCGAGCTGCAGGCGATGGTACAAGTGGGTAGATGCTATACGCCCACGGCCAGTGAAGGAGGCAGGAAATTCATCAATAGGACAGGTCTATCAGCATTGCTACGGCACCTGTACCTGAATAAAACATTATTCGGATATATGTCTCTCTTCTTGCTCGTTTTTCGTGAAACCAGTTAGAATTCTGTGACACCATCGTTTTCTTTCATCTTGATCAGTTTTCACTTTCGGTTCGAAGCCCTTTTGCATCATATCTTATCAAAAGTGGACGCCACCCTTCATTGTCACGTTGTGGAAATGCGGTGGCAATACGATTTCATCTTTCCTCCTTAGAGGTGGAATTGATTCATTAAACTAGTGAATGAACCTTCTGAAGCTCTTGAAGCCGGTGCTCATGACTTTGTCTTCTGCCCAACAAGCCTGACATTATGCAACTGATCGTGACGGATAAAACGCTAAATTACGGGCTTATATGTGAGTCACGGCTCGATTCGTGATCACAAATTCACAAAAGACATTCTTTGGCACGTTCTAATACCATTTGGAATGCTCTCCTGCGCCCCGCTCTCGACATGAATTCGGAATCGTTGGGAGGTTTGGATGTGTACAGGACATATACAATGACCTGCACTGGTCAGCCGCTGTACAAGTCAGCACTTTCATCCTCTCAGACGAGTCTGGTACCAATTAACGGAATGAATGAATGCTGCTTTCCAGTAGTGTGGGGCACTCAGAACTGAGCATAATGAAAGTGTCATTCCACTATAATTGGAAACAAGCCACAGGTGAAGAACCAGTGAACCATTAATCACGATGCTGTCACCTGCGTAGTAATGTAAAGTTCACGAAGCAAATACCATCGCCATCCTTTCACTTCTCAAGGTGCCCTTTCGCTGTACCAAGTGCCTTATGGATCATGAAAAGCGTTGGACTGTCATCGCTGTCCTGTACGTACGTCTGACCCATACCACCTGCCCATGAATAAAGGAGGTTTTGAGTAATGAAAACCTTTTATTCCCAATGACAACTTATAAAAATCATCCTGAAGAAGGTTAAATTCGGCGATTGGTATCAGCGGTTATTACTTTTCCAACGCATCTTTTAGCTCTCCCTTTTCGAGATCGCTATTTCGTTAACAACCTTTGGAACGCAGTTCTCTTGTGCAGTGTTTTGCGACACCACTTTCAGGCAATGAAATTGGCTCTAAAGGTGCCTATCGAATTACTTATCTCATATGCAGGTCCAGGGGTATCCTCTGACGGTGTCCACTACGCGGAAAGGGAAGGTGGACCGATAAAGGTGAGACCCACGATGCTCTAAGGCAGTGAATGCTGTTCTGTAATTGAAAACGTGGAGAACAGCGTCATTCCGCTGAAGTGTGGATGATCAGATGGACCTACTATTGGATTCGACCGGACCGGATCGGGAACGGGTACGCCAGGGTGTTATGCAAACAGCCCCAACCCAGCTGAGCGTGGGAGAGCAGCACCTGTAATGGTAACGACATATATTAAAAATACCAGTGGATCAGGCCATGAGAAAGGTGAAGGAGTTCGAAGCAGCAAGAAAGCGGTGACGAGAAGTCTCGATGAAGAGAAGGAGGGATGGAAGAAGGTGCATCCCAAAACCGACAGAAGATGGTATAGGTAGAATGAAGAGATGAAAGCAAGGAAGAAGAAGAAGATGATGATGATGATTAATATGAAGAGATGTTTTGACTCGCTTTCAGTAAAGTGTATTGGTGGATGGTAAAACTGGCTCAGTATAAGTATGTAAAGTAAGGGAGGGCTGATCTCAATGTTTAAAGTAATATATCTGATCCGGTCTTAGGTAGGAGCTGCCGTTCCTAAGTGCCAGCCTAGAAAATCTCCTGTTTAGGACAGCCGACTGGGTTTGCAAATATTTCTGTCAGCACTATGCCTATCTGTTTAGCCTTCCTAATAAGATGGCCTTACGTCTGAAGCGCAATAGTGAGATGCTGATCGCTCATTCCAACTAATTAGAGATAATTAGAGACAATGTCTCAGAGACTGGCTGGAATACAGATGCTCCACCCCTAGTTGCACCACTGGGGAAACTTCCCACTCAATATCTGGACCGTTGAAGCCACATTTAGGGAATCACTTTGAGCAATCCCTTTACCAGTGAATGAATATAGTACGTGACTAATGGTACAACTGACCTGGCGCCCTGGCGCCACTTCGCGCCCCATGGCGAATTTCGCTGCGTCGCGGTTCACAGTTTGGTGTCAGCCGTGATCCAACTGTGCGCTTCTAAAGAGGATACCCTGTCCTTTTCATTTCCGTGCTACCCAGAGGGGCCGGTTTGGGTTGTTTTCTTCTCCGGCCCAAGCGACTCATTGTTGACCGGCTAGTCTTCGGTGTAGTTTTTAGGTCGATGGTTTTTTGGGCTTTCGGGGCACAAAATTTATTAAGTACAAGAAGATTATTGACGCAAAGTGAGGAATCGCAAAATTGAATCTTTTAGTGTTGTGGTTATCCACGAGGGCTATTCTGGAAATCCTAGAAAGTACTTGGTTTTTACAAAGTTTCAGCAAATTACAAAGCTCGCAACGTGGCTAGCGCGTTGGAGCAGCTTAATAAGTTGGTTTTTCAGTGGGTGGTCCGTGATGTACGTAAAACCTCACGAAACGCCGAAATGTGGTCTGGTGTCTTAAAAAGTGGGTAAAGCTGGGGTGCTTTTATCAAATAGTAGCAGTATCTCTTCAATTTGTTATCTTTTTCTTCTAAGAGCATTATTTTCTTCGGCAGAGCAGTGCAATTGTTCACAAAAACAGATTCCACCAATCAATTTGATTATTTGTTGTTTACAATGATTTCTACTGTAACAGAGGAGATGTTATAGTAGTAATCAGTGACTGCAATCGTCAAGTTCTCTGCCATTCAAAGTTTTACAGAGCATAAGTACCATCAGTTAAACTGTTTCAGCTCTCTGTCGTCATGACGTCTACTGCCCCTGTCGCTGCTGCTGCTGCTGCTGCTCCTACTGCTGCTGCTCCTGCTGATTCATCTCAGCAAAACAGCTTCAATCCATCATGGTTAGTGGCAACAAGCATTTAATTAAATTTTCACGAAGAAGTCAATCATTCTTGTAAATGTTAAAATAATTCCCATATAGGATGCGTTCCACATTCAATGGTGGAGGGACTGCTGCCGCACCTGTTCGCTCTCCTAAGACGGTGATCACACTTCCTTTACTTCTGTCTTGATCATATCTTTACTGCTTGGTAGGTAACATAAAAATATGGAGGACATGCTAATATTCCGTTGCTGGATTCCCGGCAGGAAGTAAGAAATCTGCGGTTATTGGGAATATGGAGGACACGCTTCAATTTCCGGGGCTGGATTCTCGAGGGAAATCAGAAATTTTGTGGTTACTATCATTCTGTTGGAATGTTCCATCGTTGTTTTACAGCAACATTAACCATATTTCCATATGAGTTTCTATAACCCTCTCTTTATGTCGAACAGAAAGAGGATGCTAAGTAATGTTCTATCGAAAATGCTCCCACGCTGAAGTAAAAAACGTCCTTATGGCTAAGTTCGATCGATAAATCGATCTTGAGGACGTTTGTTGTTTTTTGCCATTAAAGCCGGAGAATTTGTTTTGAGGAGAGTCTAAAGTAGTTTCTATATATTTTAAGCAATGTTATCGTAGTTTTATAAATTGCAGCTGCAACAAGTGTTGCCCAGTGATATATTAATCAGTTGCAAAAGCATTTTTTGTATCTAAATTTGTTATATGTCGGAATCGAATCATACCCACGGCTTCTTAGTGATACATTTACAAATGTGTACATTTATACCTACATAGATAAGTTATTTCAATCTCTAAATACAGGCGAATATGGGTCGTTTCTGGCCCTGGCACTCATTACCTCAAAGTTTCTGAATATTTAGAATTCCAATCCTTTTTATTTACAATAAAACGTCGTGTTTCAAAAACTGTGAAATAGCAGGACTATCCTGTCGCTGCTCCGATATTTGTGAAGAATCGCTATGGCCGTGAAGATATGTTAGCCCTCATGGGAGAAGGCGCCGGTCATCCACCTCCTGAAGGCCTTCAGAATTGCCCATTTTATGTTGAAGAAGCTCTTCCACCCATAGTCTGCTATCCGCTATCGGACCTGGAACAGGTTGGTAAATTTTCATTATTTGGTATTTCTTTTTGGTACTATCAGGGTTTATTCGCCGGCTGAATATTCCCTCACTGTAAATAAGACAGCTTATATAATGAAGAAGAACAAGATTTTATTATTGCGAACGTTTTTTTGACAGTTTTTTTCTGCCTGTAACAAGTTCTCAGTTGTGCTTAATTTTGAAATACTGAAGATAAAGTATATAGAGCAGTTCATTCATAGGAATGCTGACCCTTTTTTATATTTGTACCCGTTATGTGTAGAGCAAGTACCAGCAGGATGTACGAAGCTTGATGCCATGATATCATGTCGAGTGAATGCTTTGGAATGTTCCATGTGTCTACTAAAAGTTCAATGTTACCGTTTGTCTTTGCTCACGATGGAAATTCCTATTAGTTTTTCGAACCCGTCGTATTTGGCTATATTTTCAGCGCCTTCAACAAAATATTAATTCGTCCAAAGCGATGTCGTCACTTTCACACGCAGAACGTGCTAGTGTGGCTACTGGTGCGGCCTACGGTGGAGGTGGAAATGATAGTAATGCTGGGCACAAAGGTGCTGGAGGCTGGACTCCAGTAAAGCAGTGGGGTACGCCCTATTGAAATGATCTTATTTGGAAGTGTAATAAGTCTTCGGTGATGTAAAGTCACTTGGTATTTCAGGTCGTAACCATCCAAATGCCGCTGCACCTGTGAAAGGAGGCCCATCACGAGCATATGTACCACCATGTCGAAATGGTGCTCGAGGAGACAGCACTAGCAACAGTCAAGAACCGCAATTAACACCTTTTGGGCAAAGATTTGGTATGCTATTTCTACAATTTTCAAAAGTGCAGATCATTCCCAAAGTGTTCAATCGCATGGCTGCGGTGTAGACAGAAGAATCATTCTAACGGTAGAAAGCGTTCATTGACATATTAATACACCACTGCTTCCTAGGAGAACTAAATTGTAAGAGGATAGGATAGCGTATGTTAAAATTTTGTGGGCTCGCGTATAACGAATACCGCACTTCTCCTTCCGATTGTCATATGAAGCGATTAAAAGGGCCCCATTCCTATCAGAAGGATTACAGAAAATCATCCACTTCAGTGCTGCACGTTGTTTACGAGCACTTTCAGCCCGAATTTCGTGAGGTAGGTAGTTGTGTTACCTCAACGACGATTGATATATGTTTTACAAGGTTTTTGAATTGTTGGTAAAGGCCTCGAAGTTGGAATTTATTCTTGTGCTTTTAGGCACAGGTGGCCTTTATCCCCTATACCACAAGAACCCCGCTTAACCTCCTCGTAGCTTGCCGTCACTCACGCAAATATCACATGTGTAATATGGTCAGCGATTAGCCTATGTCTGCATTGAAATGTCTTCTGTTTGCTTTTTTACTTGTGTGTATTATTGAGATTGAGCTGGCGGTTCATTTGAGAAGTGGACAGCAAACAGAGTTTCGTTAGTATAGAGTATGAATGAACAGTGTATACCGCAAGGATTCTAGTCACTATTATGGACGGAATTTTGATGTTCTCTCACGAGAAAGAATCTTAAGAAGTGGAAGTACTGGTAGAAGATAAGAAAAAGATAGGCAAAGCTACAAAGTTTTTTATTTGTTGCACTAGAAAGTGCATGTATTGAGTAATGACTTTTGCTGTGGCTCCTGGCAAGCGTCGATTCTAGTTCAGCGATCCCTTATGTTGTAATCGATACAGACAGACGGTGACTGTCAGAGACATTAAGATTATCGACAAGTTGGGGTAGCGTAGAACTTAAGTGCACTGGCTATGGCGATAGCTGAGAACACATCAGTGCTTAACACGCCGATGCATGCGCAAAATCATAATTAGCAGAAGAGATTTCTGGAAAGCAACTTGAAGATATGCTCATTTCCAAACTATTCTAAGAATTGATTCCGCTGGCTTTGCTTAATGGATACGGGATTTCCGCAGTCAATTTCATAACAAAAAATTGAAAAAAAATTGTTTGCGATCACTCAATGAGCAAATGGTTCAGAAATGCGATTTTAAAGAAAAGTCATGCTGAAAAAGCTGTTTTTGTGCTATTTTAGTTGCCATTGTTCGTACAGCTACATGAATGTTTTAATTCAGTGTTATTGGCGAAATCACTACTATGTTTCAAACAATTGCACAAATAATCAGTGTTTAAGAATGTTTTATATCACAGCAAATCGAGGTCGTGGTGGTTCCCAAGCATCCACACGTGGAGGAGGCGTAACCGGTGCAGCATTCAATTCTCGGGCTCAGGGTTTGTATGACCCTCGCGATCCAAAAGGTTTGAATTCATTAGAGGAACTTTAATGTCTGATCGTCTTGTTCTTCATTGAAGCTTGGTTTTATGAGTTCCTCCTAACTCTGTGTGGTCTTAACTTCGATTTCGAACTAATACTTGAATCGAGTTGTTAATCAAATCACTAAAAAGTTGTTGCTTTTTCTGTCTGAGCTCTGCTTTTTTGTGTTTTTCTTTTGCCATCGGCAGCTAAAACTTAGGTAATTTTGATTTCGAACATCGAACGCAGCCATAGTGAGTTGACTGAAAATTAAATGTTGTGTTAAGATCGCCCACGAAATCGCATACGCTCTACAAGCGACGAAGGAGATGCGACAGGAGAAGGAGGATGGACAACTGCTAGCGTCGGCAAGCATGGCTGGACTCAAAACAAGGATGGAGGACAGCAAAATGCATGGACTGGCGGGCAAGGTGACTTGTATGTTTGGCCTTGCACAGTCAATTAAGAAACTGTCGTATCGGTCAGTCAGCGTCTCATACACATCAACTTTTTTCACAGGCCCGCTACATTTCACTCAGTATGATAAACCCAGAAAGGTGGACGATGAGCTGTCTTTTCTTGCGTGACCATCGGTTTTATCACCCGCAGATGATGGGAAAGAAGCAGGAGCATTTCTTAGAGTGCTGACTGATTGATTGAATTCAATATAAGAAAATCTAAAATTCGAATTGTTGATTTGAAATGATGCGGGTTGAAAAACGCATTTCTCCTAAAGATTGTTCTTCGATACATTGGAAGCCCCCTTTTTCTTTATTTTATGCTTACTTTCTTCCACCTAAGATCTAGTCTACCGATCCAGCTGTACCATATCTAGGAGTAAGGACTATAGCATCATTATCTCTGTCAGTGAGCGACAACATACTGTGTTCGGGAACAAAAAAATCCAAGTCAGAAACGTTTAGCATATTGGAAGTAAACGTCTCTTTTCAGTTTACATCGCGCTTTCTCTTTTCGTATCTTTTTTTGTCTCTGATTTTTAATGACTCTCGACCGTAACTTTGCGCATGTCTGGGATGAGTCTGAGATGGCACCGGACTGGATGTGCTACTTCATTATTGACCAAACTTTTAGTAGTTGATAGCTTTTTTAGCAGAGTGGCCCGCTCAGTATTCATTATCTTGGGGTGACTAGTTCTTTTGCTCGTATTACCTTGTGCCGCTTACATTTTCGCTTCTTTGCTGGTTACTCTAATGTATCAGCGGTTCCATTTTAAGGAGTACATGGCACATCGGCTAATGATGTGGAAGAATCACGCAGGAAAAGCGAGAGTGGGCCTTTACCTGAATGGATGGAAGATGGAGAAGATCAAGATAAAGAGTCTGTTTTTAATTTTTAGCATTGAAGCTATTGCTTATGCAGTTTTGATTACAACCCTACCAGTAAAACCGAAATTTGGAGGATAGAGTTCCTGGCGTTGATTGATCCACGAGTTTGGCTTTCACTTACAATTGCCCAAACATTTGGATGCATGTTTTGCTCACACACATTGGTTTGAGGGATAGGTAGTGTATAAGCCATTGGTTCTCCCCCCCCCCCCCCCCNTTTTTTTTTGTTGTAATGTTCTGTGTTCTAGAGAATCTGGAGATGAAGCAACTAGTGCAACGGGTTCATTTGATGAACATGGGCGCTTTCAAAAAAAGGTCTGTACGTATTTTTTGGAGTTTATTGCTCACATATAGAAGTGCTTTTGTTTGGTGTGCAAAATGGTGTATGAAAACTCGGCCTCATCAGAGAGTTCTGGATTTCCCATTAGTCACAGTTGATCCAATGGGCTCCATGGGCGCTTTCAGAGTACTGCGTCAAGCGCCCTTTCGCAAGAGCCGCTCGTGCTCTCGACGCTCTTGCGCCAGATGATGGTGCTCGGCGCTCGTGGAGAACGTAACTGCTAACGGCATTTGCGTTGGAGCGTGTTATCTCCCAAAAAGAGTTTTCACAATCATATGCTTTCGCCACAATGTTCTTTAATGTAAAATAAAAAACAAATCCCCATATCAAAAAGGGGTGAGTAAAGATTATACGAAGCTGGAAAACAATCAAGAAAATAATCGCCGCCGACCCGTCCAGTATCGATCCGATCGATGACCAGAGCCGTCAATCGATTTGAGCGCCGCTGCTTTACGTAAGAGCGTTGAGCGCTGGCGCTAGCGTTCTACTCTGAAAGATGACATGGAACTGCATAGGCACAATATCCAAACTCGCAAGATCGCTTTCTTTGTCATGTCGGAGCACTGTTTTTCGTGATGTAGTGATCGGTGTCATGAAATCTGCGTCATGTTAAGGTTGAACGCCCTTTGAATCGCATGGGCTTGTCTGATCAACTTTGCCCTTCCGCTTGTCGGCTAATATTGCCCTAATTGCTTGACAAGGTTGGCCATGGGTCATTTACTCTGTAAAGCACGTATAGCAGGTTTCATGTGATACCGATCCTCGTACCGCGTGAATGCGTCGTGGAGCGCGTTGCGTTGACCATAACGTGGAGATAGAGAAGGTGGAAGCCTTGAAGGCACGGCCTGGAGTAATCGTTAGCATTATTCTACGCCGCCTCATGTGCACAATTTAGCCAAAGAATTTTTATAATATTTACAAGTTTTTTGAAAAGCTGTTTTCCAGCATCATGTTCCTGCTGAATCAACGCAACCAAGAAAAGTGCCTGATGTCACTCAAAACAAGTTAGTCTTATTAGCGCGCATCATTATTTGCAATGAAGTGGCAGGGTTAATTAGGTCACAAATTGTATGACCGCATTTGTTGAATAGTGTTTTTTTTTTTTTTGTAGAGATAAAGAGATGTGATTCAGACATGAAAGGCAACTGTCAAGCAATTCTGAAAATCAAAGCGTCGAGAAAGGACCTGCAGTTACCCAGGTAAGTGCCATGAATGCTCTCGTTTTTCATTTTGCATTACCATGGTCTGTAGACAGTGAACCACTACTGAGAACTCATCGAAAGCCATAAAGTACGAACGCAGCCACATTCACTTCCACGCACAGACGCTGTTCTTTATAAATAATAAGTTATTTCATTATCTTACTTATTTCAGGCGCCGCGTGATTCTCATCCTTCATCGACGAACGTAATAAATGCTGATGCCGACAGTTCGCGAAGTTACTCATCATTGCGACCGCAAGGTGAACCAGCTGGATACCACCCTTCTGTGCCTTCACAAAATCCCGTGGTTGTTCCTGGACCTGTACCTGCTGCTCCCCCGTCAATGATTCATCCACCAGTTCCCCAATTTTATTACTTGGATCCAACGAAACAGGAGCGCGGTCCTTTTGAAAAGGTTCGGGTTATTTTGTTTGTTACTAATGTTGTTGGTCTAGTAGTGTAATTAGGTTTTAGCTTCAAATGGAGAGTTGGTATAAACGTGGATTCTTCACGGAAGGATTGGAAGTGCGGCGTAGTACTGAAACAAAATACAGAACTTTAGGTAAAATAAAAATTACTATATGAGGATTGCCGACAGCTGTTGTTTCTAAAATACCTTCTTAGGAGAACTAATGCAAATGAACGGGCGAATGACACCATTTGACTACAAAGACGATGTAACTACTCATCCACCCGTAACAGCGTTTTCGAATTCAACGCAACAGTACGCAAACCTCTTCGCGTTAGTATCTCTTTCGAATTTTTTTTTTCTTTGAAAAAAATTGCTAAGAAAGCGATTGCTTTAGAAGTGGAGGGATGTGGAGTGACTTGGCTGCTCCTACCAATATGATGTATAATCAGGCTGCTTATGATCCCATTGCTGCTGAAAGAAAGGTGGTGTAGCCCCGCATCTGGATTTTTGCCTTTTCACGGTTTTTTATTCTAATTTTGCAGCGAATCGAGGAGGAACAACGACGGATATTAGAGGAGCAAGCAAAGATGAGAGAATATCAAGAACAGATGGTTAGAGAATTGCAAAAACAGAGGGAAGAACATGAAAAACAGTTGATGGAGCAAAGACTTGCGCTCCTCAAACATCAGGTTTATCTTCACTATTCTTTTTGAAATATTATCGATGTTTATCACAATCCACTGAAATAAGCTAACTCGTCAAAGTTAATTAAAGTTGAAAGGATTCATCGCAAAGTTCTGGTCATGTTGTGCTACTAAGGGACGGGGATAATTACTCCGCATAATTACACTTAGGAGGAGATCGAACGACGAGAACGTGAGCTAAAGGAGACAGCCGAAGAAACGAAAGCTCGACTAGAAATGGAACGGCTTGCGCTCGCTGAAAAAGCTCGTCAAATCGAAGAGGAGCGTGCAGCTAAACTTAAGGTAAGTTGGCTTATTTCTCCTTACCATTATAATTTTGGAAGTTCAATCTATAAAAATTTGATTTGATCACGTCATCTACATAGAATATTGTGGCATTAAACATGCTACCGTTTGCTTCATAGGAGGAAGCTCGAAAGGAGGAAGAAAGGCGAGCCGAAGAAGCACAGCGGAAACGTATGGAAGAAGAATTTGAGAGACAACGGATTGAAAGAGAACAACTCAAGAAACAACAAGAGGCTGAGCGAGAAAGGTTTCTTTTTTGGATTTGGCTGCAGTATTTTATCATGGCATAAGGAGCGGATTCGTCGAGTTACCTATGGCAGTTGAAGAAAGGCAGTGGTCAGCCTAGTATTTTAGACGTGCTAAAGAGGCTGCCGAAGAAGAAGCTCGACGTGCTCGGGAAGCAGCGGAAGCTGCTGCCCTTGAGAAGGCGCGTCTTCAACAGCAAGCAGAAAACCAGCGAAAGCAGGTCAGTTGAAACACAAGCACTCTGCGCCTTCGTTGACCACTTAGGTTGTGGTGCGTGGCTGTAATAGCATGATAATTGCTCAGTTAAAATTCAGAGTACGAAAATTGATTAATGGTAACTAGCCATTCCCTGTGTGCGGGTGTAATGTTATTAGTTATTACGATGCTCTTTTTATGGTGTGAATTTCGTAGCCATTGTGGTGGTGCAAAGAATTTCTAAGCAATTCAGGTTCAGCGCAAATCTAAGAGGTCATATCAAATTGATTTCAAACTCTCAGTTCCGAATTCTACATAGTATTTGTTTGATTGGGGTTATGTTCTAGGACAGGAAATTGTCACTTTATGGTGTAAAAATGAGGTGCGAAAGGTCTTAAAAGGACATTCGATGAAAATCTGTTGCCTAAATGACACAGTTACACTGGCTTCCTAATCAGCTTTCAGTGGAAAGCTTTATTTTTCAAGGTACGTAATTATTAAGCCTTTCTTTTTAAGAAAGCCGCCGAAGAAAATCGTAAAAACGTCGCAGCTCAAGAAAAGGCCGAAAAGGAAAGGCGTCAAGAGCCCGCAAAAAGCTTTGAGATTGAAGAAGTTTGGCAGGTAAGTCAGTCGAGTCCCGGTCTGATATATATATATATATATATATATATATATATATATATATATGATACAGTACCGTCGTTATTTATTTCCTAAAGCGCTTATGATATACACAGCCTGTTTTGATCTACTTGTTGTTTGGAGAGTTTATATTAGGTCTTCATTGCTGATCACGGCACTATCTGATTTTAGGCTGCTCCAAAGCCGTCTTCGCAACATGCTGGAGAGAGTGGAGTGAAGAAGACCACCACTACTAAAGGTATGAGAAGTCGCGGTTTTATTTTTTCATCCTTTTTTAATACCTGTGCAGTGACCTGCATAATGCGTGCATCTTCATTATTTTTATAATCTATTCCAAATTTCTCTTCTTTGGGTTTCCAGTTGATCGGCTTCCGACCGACTTGTTTTTGTTTGGAAAATGGTTTACCAGATATTTATTTGACTCTCTACTTGGCTATTTCGCTTCACACTCCATAATAAGATGTTCAAGAATTTCTAAGTAATATTTGGGTATATCTTAAACTGTTGTAGTTGCGCCATGGGTAGCTGCATCAGCTGTACAACCAGTGAAAGAGAAGACTTTGAAGGAGATTCAGGAGGAAGAAGAGCGGCAGTTGCGTGCGGAGCAGGCACAGCAAGCACGTTTGAGAAAAGAGGTTTGTCTTCTTTTGTGCTTCGAGCTTAGAGTATAATTGAATGAACTAGCATATGTCAATGAACGTGTGTTAATGACCTCTTTTGTGCAGCACGAGACAATTAACCTACAAGCAAGTGCTACGTGGTCAAACGCATCGCAGCGCCTTCAGTGGAATCAGCCGGCTCAGCAAACTCCTGCCGCTAAGACAGCGACCGTCGTTAAACCTGCTTGGGGTGGAGCAGGTGTAGAGCCACCAAAGGTGACAACAAAGATTATGATTCATTTTCGTTCGAATATCTTCCAGCGACCTGAATAATGTATCTAAAAACAAAAATTAACGTTTCCAAATTGATGTAATTCTGTAATTTTGTAATTGAAAAAACTCGGAGGACTACATTTTCGACTGAAGCTTTCAGTCGTCAAATTTGTTCACTTTGAAGGCACAGTTCGCGATAGGAAGGGCTTCCAAGGTTCCTTCCTAGGATGAACCCTGACCCCAAGGATAGCGTAAGTGGAGCTGTTGGGGCGGGTGGTCCAAACCAAATTCAAGGGTGTTTTTATACTTATGAAACGCACTGTGTACCCTGTAGGTAGTGAGTATGAAATACGTCTTGCGCCTAATTGATGTGCATGCGCATAGAGAGGGTTACGCGGTTGCAGAGGGGGTAACTTACGATAAGTGAAAGTGCCCGAAGACTGGAGATTTCAAGTGTATAAGTGAGATAGAAGCGTTATCCTTATTACAGTTTTGGGTCCGTCTTCAGTTTTGATTAGAAGAAAGTCACAACGGAAGTGACGAGCAAGTTAAATTGCTGGTGTTCACTTCCTTATTATCTTCTTAATCACTGGTTAACAGAGCTTGAACGCGTGTATATTTTGTTCAAAAAAAAAAACCAATTAATCCGATCCTTCTCAGCTCATTGATTCCTCCCACGTTTTAACGTTCATCAATTTCCGTAAATGTTTCTAGTGTTTAGGCAACATCTTCTCCATTCTGGGACAGTCCACCACTACAGACAGCTAATAAACCTGCAAATAATTCGGCGAAGAAGGCGGAAAAAGGTTCTAACGCAAAGTCATCCGCTTCTAAGGGCGGCGCTAATGCTCTGGCTAACGAAAAGGTGAATTTTTGTCGCTTGTTTATAATCAAAGTTTACAAAATAGTTGAAGGTTGAGCAGAAGTGTAATGGAAAGCAAGTTTCCAGCAAGTCGGGATTTAGTCAAGTTGTACCTCTATTCGCCTTCAATTTTCAAAGAGATTTCAGGGAACGATTGCGATTGCTATATTCCATGATATCAATGTTTTTCAGGCTGCCAAGCGTGCTCTCGGTCTAGGCGAAGACAACAGCGTCTTTTTGGAATGGGTGGTTCAGCGATTAAAAGAGCTCAATTCGACTGTTGAAGCAGATGTGCTCGCCATGTTCATTGAAGGTGTCGAGAATCCCGACGAGGTTTGATTGGTTTCAGTTCGAGCTTCGTTTTTTTTCTATCTGTAACATAAATAAATTAAATTTGGTCACTGTGCGCAATGGCGCTTGCCATATCCATAGCCTGGAAATTTATGGATGTTCAGCTTAGCAGCTGCATCCTCTCGTTGTCACAGCCTATCATTCGCTTCTTGCATGAAAGATCGCGATTTTCTTTGATATTGGTTGAATCGCAGACTAATACCGGTGTTTATTTTCTACTAACTCTGATCATCCTTTATCCGACCTGGGACCGAGACACCCACCACTAATATATTCGCCATGCTCAGTGACCCTTTTTCTAACGTCTCATCTAGGAGTTTCTACTGAGCACTTTTTTCTACCTTTTTTGGGTCATTTTGCTTGGGCCACTTTTCACCCACGCTTTTCCCTTTTTAGAGATCTCCTAGAACTTCCGCTTACCAGTTCCGATGACTTTGTATTTTCATGAATTCCGAAAACAGACATGGAGGTTCCGAAAAACATCCTGCCCTCTCACCCTATGTAACCAGAACCGCTTCCGCCCAATAGTCAGAGTGTAGTAAACCATGTCCTGTGACCTTCTCATTCCACTGAACTGAACCTTCACAGGTACAGACCTTTTTCATCATAATGCCGAGTTTTTTCAGCGCTTAACAGAAGTAAAGAGCGTTGTCTTTATTTATTTACTGATTTATTTATTTGCCATTAGGTCTCTCAAAAACGGTTTATATATTTTGCACAGGTGGAAGACTATGTGATGGGATACCTGGGAGATTCGAAGGCAGTCAAAGAATTTGTTAGAGAATTTCTACTAAAAAGGAGCGATTTTCGAAATCGTAAACAAAACGCGGTAAAGAATGTGAGTTATTTTGTTGTCTTCATTATTTTCTTTAAATTTTGAACATGTATGTGAAGGATCTCTCGAGTGCTCGTGGAGCTCCAGAATCGGGTAATGGAGCAGGATTTTCGGCAGTACAGGGGAAAAAGAAGAAAAATAAGGTATGGTAAAATAATGTCTGCGTTGGTAGCAAATTTTCCTCATGTGCTGCTAACATTTAGGGCGCCCGGCTTGTTGTTGATGGCTCATGTTTGGGTTTCCGTGCGACCTCAGATCCAAATCGGGTCAACCAAGGAGAGATTGAGACTGTAACACTTTCTTCTGGACAAAAGAGATAGACGTAATGTTATTAGTTTCAATAATAGTTTCGTTCTCATTGATACACCACTTCACTATTTCTGATTTGATTGCTATTCTCGTAATACTCGTAGTTTTTCAAAAGAAACCATTTCCTTTGCTGAAGTTCTTTCCTCTACAAGGTTTTCGCATTATTCATTAGCCTGACATAGTTAATGCCAATGGTTATTTGATTCTTACACTTCTGCCGTTGAAATCTATCATGTTAGATTTCATCAGAGGTTCAAACGCATATGGCGCTTTTATGCTAATATATATTATGGCTTTTTTATCTTTCTGCTCGCTTTTAATTTTCTCTGGGGTCTTACACAAAATTTCAGCGTGTACATTGTCGAATTATATTGTTTCCAGATGTTTATCTTTTTGAAGACGAGTTTGGTGTTGTATTTTGCTCATATTCGTCATCATTTGCTGTCTCTTTCTTCAAATGTTACCAGATATTTTTTTAATATATGCATGGTTCTCGTTCAATCATTCGTTCGTTCCTAGTAGCCTTACCTACTCGGTGTTTCAGTGGGTGTTAAACGCAGCACTACCACAGAATTATTTTTTATTAGAGCTAGTCGAACCTGTTTTTCTTCTCGTCTGATTTGCTCTTCTTGTCCTTTCTGTTATTTGACTGCGTAGGCTTCGACAGAATTTTTTTGAAAAAAAGCCCTTTCTGTATATGCGGACACATATAACTTATTAACTGGTAACTTCGTGATGTTAGGAGACTTTATGGTAGTGTAGCTCACTAATGTCGTTTCCCAACTTCTCAAGACACCCCGTTAGTGCAGATGGGTCTGCTAGATTCCTACATTGGCTGTTAACTTCAGTGAAGAGATTTGTGTGAACGTTGCACCATAAATCGTATCATTTCAGCGATAGCACCTGAAAGGGTGAGGCAGTTGTGTTCAGTGTCATGGAGATATTATTGAAACAAAAGGAGCTGCCATTTTAGCTCCGATCGTTGGGGGGTATGAAGCTAAAGTATGAACTGTTTGATGAGCTTGGTATTGATTAACCTTTCGAGGTGTCCAAAACTTCAAAACTTCCCGGCTCTTCAGAGTAGCACATGCCGTGATCTTATTATTGGCATCACGATAGCAATTGCTTGGAAGGGCAGATACGAAAATAGCCCAAACTACAATTTCAGTCATTTCGTCGTCTAAAGCTGGGATGGGCTCAAATGGGTTAGATGCCCATGTCAATGGCACAGCCTACGAGACGGGCATGCAAATCATTTATAGCTCGCAGTGGTCAGATGCCAAGAATGGTCTGCATCAGCCTCTAGTAGGCCACCATACCGTCGCATTCACCTGCTTTCAGACGAGGGTTTCCGTGGTCCTAGGTGGCCATTGTACAATCGTGCTCATCTTTTTTGTCCAAAAACTCGGTCTGATTATTTATTTTTTTCTGGAAACCGGGGTCAGATAACTATGGCAGATCTTTGGAAGCAGCACTTGTACTGATCAAACACTGCATTGATAAGAAGTAAATGCAACGACAATGAAATTCTTTTCAGTTCAGCCGTTATAAAAAAATGTCTGGCCACCAAATGAGGTTTCAGTCATAAGTGCGATCGTGTCCGACAACGCTAACCTTTCATCGTGTCGTTATTTGTTCCCATTACAAGTTCCAAAAGGTTCCCTCGTCATTTGTCTTACTTTTACCAGCTTCGAGGCCTAAGTAAAACTATTTATACCACAAACGTCGCTTCCTGCTGGTCAACAACTATTTTCTTACCATAGGCATGCTAATGTCTTCATGGACGTCACCGAAGTAAATGTGGGCGCAGTTGTTTCTGACAATGAATATCAATACCGTGGGTATATTTAGTATTTCCTTAGAGGACAAAAGTTACAAGTATGGAATACAACGCCATTCAAGCGTGCATTTGAAAGAGTGTAATTTTGGATTTGTCAGTTGGGAGGCGCCCAAGTGTTTGATTGTCATCTAAAATCATTTTTGCGTTTGAATGTGCATACGGCCTGTACAATGCCCTGCGGACAAACCAATGTGCAACTTAATGTTTTTATTGCTCCAAGAGGATTTGTTACCCATACGTCGATTTCCAAGGGACGGTAGGTGCGGGTCATCTAGGCAAGGTTCTTTCCGCCACTTAATCCATGAGTTAAACGTGTGGCAACGACGTGCAGGACAATTTTCTGGGCCTACAATTTAATGAACTACCACCATTATTGACCTGCAACGGTTTTGAGAATCCACACAAAAAGAGTAGGAACGGTCGCCATCTCTATGGCTCCATACGCCCATGACACTTGCTGTGGTCAGGGTAGAGCTTCTAAGAAACAATATTGTTGAGGGGTTGGAGGTGGTGTAGTTGCAAATGGCGCAATATCACACAGACACAGTCTCGGATCGTTATTTACCAAGGTCAAGCAAGTCTTCCTTCTGCAGTTCAACGGTACCAGACTCGTCTGGGAAGATAAAAGGAATTCGGAGGCGCATACGCCAAAGACCTCTGAGCTTCATTATTACAAGAGTAGAACCTCGACTTTCTAACACATTCTGCCGGCATCTTTGAGTTGGGCTATTGTCCTTGAAAAAAGCCTGTTTATTCCGATCCAGTTATCATTGGAGAGGGGAGGTCACGCGAAATGTTTGGTCGGAAAATCTTCTGAAAGTCGGGGTTACTTCCAACCATCTTATTACGAAACATGTCTTCTTGTAATTTACAGTTTTGCTTTCTCAGATGTTCGGCTGTTAAACATATTGAGGCAAATTGAGAATTCGCTTACGCTCACATTCTGGTAATTAAAAACTTTTAATAGTCCATAAGCACAATTCACGATAAAAATGATTTCCAACGTTCTTGTCGGGGATTTGTGGTCCCCAAGATTAGAACATGGGACATTGTGGAGTCAAAAAACGGCAAGGACAGGGTGTAATAATGGCTCTGAAACCGGTCTGCCCAACGCACTTTCCCAAATGTGGCCTTGTTGGCGACAATGTTAAGGCTACGCCATTCACGATGAAGTGTTAGGATGCCGACGAATAGTAGGCTTACGCGGGAGGCACCGAGACGGCTATAGACGGCGACGCATTTATACGGAACATGCAATCATACGCATCCTTTTTCGTTCTTGAAGAAACAGTTTTCTATGCTGTGTACTAATTTTGTTTTCACTACCAATTCCATAAATGCGCGCTGTGAAAGGGAATTTTTGCCATTTTTGACCTCTGTAGACACCTCTTTACGCTACTGCGCGCTTGACATCTCGTCCATACCCTCCTTCCCTGCAGCTTTTGTCGTCATAATCTCGTACATCCCTTTTCACCTACTTTTTGACACCTTATTTTTTTTGGAACTAAGCCAATTTTAGCGCTTTCTTCTTTTCCATTCTATTATTTCGCACCATAACTGCCACTAATACTTTAACTGAAATTGAATGATCGCAATTGTACCTTCAGTAGCAATAAAGTTTTTTTTTTCAGAAAATCTAACTGGGTTTCTAAAAATATCAATTATGTCAAAACTCTCCAGTATGAAAGACCTATGTATACGTTTTTATCTCAAAAGGGTAAGTCAACAGTTTAATGGTTTCCATCATTTTCCTATTGAGAAAATTCAGTTTATCTCTTCTTCTCATGATACGAAATATTTGTTGATCAGCATGATACCACTAAAGACTTCTTTGAATGCCTATAGATTGGATTGAATGAGCATTTTCGTGAGTGAGAAGGATGAAAATGAAGAGGGTTCTTTGGATGCGCCACACATCCTCGCCCATATATTTAGCTATGTAAAAGCATCTGTACTGCTGAAAACATCGGCAAACGGATTAACTTGTGGATAATAGAAATAAAGGATGCAGTCTTTGGTGGTAAATCAATGCCGTTTTTGGGATGCGCCCCGCATTCGACTTCCATTCAGAATCGCAGAGGCGCATTGCGTGCGTATGTGGCCTACGCAATAGTTGGTACAGCCAGCCAATGTACTTTTCAGTGCTTTTATCCTCCCAGGCAAGTCTGGTTCTAATAAACCGACCCTAGGGGATGGAAGGCTTGGTTGGCCTGGGGTGTATCGACCTAGGATTTGAACCGCGGACCGTGCGTATGAGCTAGTGCGCTACTTACAAATACACCACCCCTATATTTCTCGATTCGAAGAATGATCCGGGTGAGAGTCAGGGTTTGTCCCACCCTGTAGGGCAGAGTTCCTCGAGAAAATTTGTTTGTATTACGGTAATTGGGCTAGTTTAGCGTCATTGGACTGATGCTTATCACCTTTATCAGTGAAAGGTGGCAATGTAAAGGTATGCGACCAAGTACCGATAATGGTTAATCGAATAATCACATCCAAAGATCGCTGCTCGCCCTTCCAGCATTATTTTATTCATTTTTCTAATATTTATATTATTTCACTCTTTCTTATGACTTGTTCCTCCCTTTCTTTTTAATAGACTGCATTTAAAGAAAATGGGTAAGAAGGGCCCGTCTCGAAGTCAGAAGATGGGCTTGTTGGGAGCCACGTCGTATATTATTGGGAATATCGTTGGCTCAGGAATCTTCATTACTCCTACTGAAATTTTGCAAAAAACTGGTTCGGTAAGTAGAGCAAGATTTTTAAAAGCTATTTATGTCCAAAACCGTTTTTCCACTACTTGATAGTCATCTCTGAGAAGCAAACTCTGGCATATTTGTATGTCAGAGATAGGGTCCCATTGTACAATAAAAGCAGCAATTACTGGCAAACAACGGTGTTGAACTCATGGCCTTCTGTTTTGCTCTATGCGCTTCACTATGTACCTTCCTAGAAGGAATCGAATCCATGTTTCCATTAGGAATCGTTAAGTGCTTATGCAAATGAAGTCACAGCTATGTTGTAACGTTCGAAGGTTCGGTCGTAAAGGCACAGTTCACAATTAAATGGTTTCTGAGTTTTCCTCTACGACGAACATGTGGCTCCCAAGGATAGCACTTTGGACATTGTCGGGCCGAAAAACGGCTTCGACAAGCCTTTTAGGGGCTATATAACCGGCCTAACCGAAACACACTCCCCCAGAAGTAGCCGTGTTATGACGGCCTTGTTAAGATGCACCATTCACAATGAAGCGTCAGGATACCGACGAATAGTAGGCTTATGTGGGAGACACCCAGACAATTACAGACACACACACTCTCGTACAACCCCCTTTCGCACTACTTCCCAAGCTTTATATTTCTCAAAATCCGCAGATTTTCACGCTTTCTTGGCATTTTTGCATTGTTCTATACCACAACTCCTACCATTGCACCAAAGCTAGAAGCCTCAAAATAAGCGGACTGTGCTTTTGAGAGGGACTAAACTAACACTAGTGCCTCACGACATCACCCTTATCCTTTGAGTCTCTTCCAAAACCGACCTTACTTCCCGTGAACAGACATTTCTGCCACAAAAAAGCTAGAGCTCTGCAATATGACGGTGTTTTCACAGGCAT